ATTTGTTATTCAACCTCAAATTTAATTTCAATATTCTACATTCGTTATTCAAGCATCAACGTTCGATTTAAATATTCAACATTTGTTGTTCAACGTTCAACATTCGATTTAATTAGTCTGTGTTCGTTATTTAACCTTCAACATTTGAATGCAATAATCCACATTCGTTATTCAACCTCCAGCATCCGATTTTATTATTCTACATTCGTTATTCAACCCCCAACATTTGTTATCCAACATTCGATTTTAATATTCTACATTCGGTATTCAACATTCAACATTCGATTTCAATATAAACATTCGTTTTTCAGCGTTTTACAATCGATTTCAATTTTCAACTTTCGTTTTAAGTAGTTGCTCTTCAACTCTTTCGGTTCATATACCTTCTCGGATTTCAAGTATTGGGCTTTTAGCGTTTATAAAGGAAAATCGAGAAAAGCGCTCGTATTGTAAAACGCTTTTAAATTAATTCCTAAATGTTGTTTTCTCGTTTTTTGGACATTGGATTTAAATTCAAAATATCTTCCAAGCATTAAAGATCGGTTGTAGAAATGACTACGTTCTGTTTTACTTTCAAATGTAAAGTTCGACTCGGTCATATTTTATGCATGTCCTTCCTAAAGTTGTTGAAAGGCTAGCTATAAAATAAACAGAAAGAGGAAATTGTCTTGATATACAATTATATGCATATTATTATCTAAAAATGTAAGAACGACGAGAAAGCCTATTTTTGATGTAAAAATATGCAAACTTGAAGTACCATCGCTTCATTAAATATCAAACGCTGCACTCAAAACAATATTTAACAAATTCCGTTGTAGAATTTCCCATAGATTAAAATATCAATACAATATATTTGTATCAAAAGGCATGAACAAATTAAAAAAATAAGGAACGTAACCAATAAAGGATAACGAGAGTTCTTTATGAAATTTCTGTTTTAAATTTTGATTTATTATGTTAATGAGTTGTCGTCCTTTTAATCTCTGTTAGGACAAACGATGTTATCTTCCATGTCCGATTTGATAAGAAGTGTCTAAGAAAGACAACTCAACGTTGTTACTAGATTTTAATCAAAAACTGAAATTTCACAAAAGTATGATATTTCCTATTATCTTCGACTATAAGGAAACAAACACAAATAATAATGCATACATTTCCAATAATAATTGTTATAACATTTTGTCTCTAAAAACAAATTGTTCGTATAGTATTTCAATACTTTCATATTATATTGTATTCAACTGAAGTTAAAGATTTTCAAGTATATCTAAAATGAATTTAAAATACAAATTCTTTTAATTAGATTTTGTGTCAAAGTATTCAATAAAAAGAGTTTGATTTAACAGACATTTGTCCAATCTATACACTGCTATTTCTGAAAATATATCTTTGGTTTAACACATTAATTTACAATGAAGGAAACAACCATTACAGCGAACACATTGTCATATATGTATCTTGCAAATGAAATTAAGTTCCTTATCACAGTTATAATCATCGCATTTGTAATTATGTTCTGCCCATAATTGAACACATTTTAAAGAACTTTGAGGACGTGGCTCTGCTGGTGCCCATCGCGAGTATGTCATGGGTCGTGTCTCCATAAAGGAAGTAACCCATTCGTATATTCCATTACTGTTTCTTTTTCCACCAATCCAGACACTTCTTCCTGAAACAAGGAAAGAGCCTTTAAAATTGTTGTCTTATAGAAATTATATGTGATAAGTTACAGTTTCGTCGATAAATACCCCTAATTAACTTTTTGTGATATACTGTACAGTAAGTTTTATATCTAACATATAGTTGAACACATATCACTATTTTCTGTAAGCGTTTCAGTAGATGGTTAACAAATAATTACAAAATAATCAAATCTGTAGATTACAAAATTCTACATTGCACAAACGATAATGGTTTAAACATATAAGTAAGCTATAATCATTCATAACATTGAAAAAGTAATAAATACACCAACACGCCGTATTCTGGTAAGGGTTTAATAACTACTTGAAATACATGTGACATTGACATACAATTTAAAGGCTTAGTCTTTTTTCTATCACATAGTGTTGGTTTTATGAAAATGATGATAAAAACGAATTTGCTATGATTTTTCAAAATCCCATGTTTACAGTTCACATTGACGCCATTTTGTTCAGTCAAGTTCCACACCGACGAAGTCACAAATTACAGGCAAGAAATGTATATAAGACTTCCGATTGGGATTGATTGTGCCGTTTTATACACGATTTTAATCATTTATTTTTTTGTCAAATACTATTTTTATACTTAATCGTTGTTTGGTATTGCAGTTTGCCATTATTAAGCTTTGCAGCAAATTAACACAAGCTTAAAAGCAAAACAGGTCCTTCATTTTTTCTAGAAGAGCAGTAGTCTAGAGGTCGCAAAATATTCCTTCGGTGTTAAAATAAATAATATGCGAATGTCGGAAAGTTTTAACTGTTTCTAATTAAAAAAATTATTGCACCACGGCACAATTTAGCATTTATTAACAGGTGAACTCGACGTGATTTCTTTTTGACACCTTAAATCAGGGACAGCCTATAGTTAGTATACACTGTTCCTGCTTAAATATATATACGACAAAAATTAGTTATCAATGATACATGATAGATTATACCTGCAAATTGGATATCCCATACCGGTTTTATTATAACACCTATTCTCTAAGTTCTTTTATCTAGACAAAATACTACATCTGTTCACGTATGTCTTCCTTTATACTTTTCTATACCAGTCATATTCCAAAATTGAAAAGTTATATTTTAACTTTTTGCATTACCTTAAATCTTTTTAAAAACTCGTATAATGTCAGATTTCATCTATTAAGTGATCTTAGTTGTTGCATACCTTCGTGAAATATCAAGAGGAGGTACAAGGAAAAAAAATGTTTTTTCAGGAGTAACTTTGTTTAAGGTTGTATTTTTTGTTTATTTTATTTAAGGAATTGCATATCTAAATAGACAATTCCTTGTTTCATTTCATGATTAAATGACCAAGTTCGATAACTACTGCCAGATAAGTAATGATCCAGTTAGAGCGACGTGATGTAATTAACACATCACCCAAGTCAGAGCTGCATCATACAATTTTCTTTGAAGTCGGCCGCGTTTCCATTCCTTTTAAATACACAATTCCTTGGTTCAAGGGGAACCATAAGTGGTAGGCCAATGTTAATTGGTGTTCAGTTGTATAAGCATTAGCACATCTCATTTCAATGGAGAATATTTGGCCCAATCCCCTTAGTCATGGCGTATTGACTTTGAAACTTTTGCTTAGTTTACATGTATTAGTTTGTGATAAGATCAGTTTAAGATGAACTGCTAATGTAAGTCAATGATATTTAGTAAGCAAATTTATTGGCATTTGTAAGTATAGTTTCCATGGAGATTATATAGCTCCACCTCCTCTTTATGGTTCATTGACTTTGAAACTTTTACATAGTTTACAAATTAATGTTTGTGTTTAGGTTTGTTTAAAGGGAACAACTTATAATAAGTCAATGATATTTGGTATGCAGTTGTATTATCATTGGCACATCTCATTTACATGAAGATGGTTTAACCATGTACCTCATTTATGGTTCATTGACTTTGAATATTAGCCTAACTTGTTAATTATTGCCATTTTAATTTCAACATTTGCATAATCCAAATTACAAAAAAGCGAGACATATCTCTGTGATAACAGTTTATCTTCATTTAATTATTGTTTTCGTAATTCAACATTCGATCTTTACATTTAATTTCGATTGCGCTTTCGAAAAATCAAATATTAAGAATTCGATTTCACTTTTCATCCTTCAACATTCGATTTAAATATTCTACATTCGTTATTCAAACCTCCAACATTTGATTTAAATTTTCTTCATTCTTTATTCAACATTAGATTTAAATATTCTACATTCGTTATTCAACCTCCAATTTAATTTCAATATTCTACATTCGTTATTCAAGCATCAGCGTTCGATTTAAATATTCAACATTTGTTATTCAACGTTCAACATTCGATTTAATTAGTCTGTGTTCGTTACTTAACCTTCAACATTTGAATGCAATAATCCACATTCGTTATTCAACCTCCAACATCCGATTTTATTATTCTACATTCGTTATTCAACCCCCAACATTTGTTATTCAACATTCGATTTTAATATTCTACATTCGGTATTCAACATTCAACATTCGATTTCAATATAAACATTCGATTTCAACATAAACATTCGTTTTTCAGCGTTTTACAATCGATTTCAATTTTCAACTTTCGTTTTAAGTAGTTGCTCTTCAACTCTTTCGGTTCATATACCTTCTCAGCTTTCAAGTATTGGGCTTTTAGCGTTTATATAGGAAAATCGAGAAAAGCGCTCGTATTGTAAAACGCTTTAAATCAATTCCTAAATGTTGCTGTCTCGTTTTTTGGACGTTGGATTTAAATTCAAAATATCTTCCAAACATTAAAAATCGGTTGTAGAAATGACTACGTTCTGTTTTACTTTCAAATGTAAAGTTCGACTCGGTCATTCGGTTTATGCATGTCCTTCCTAAAGTTGTTGAAAGGCTAGCTATAAAATAAACAGAAAGAGGAAATTGTCTTGATATGCAATTATATGCATATTATTATCTAAAAATGTAAGAACGACGAGAAAGCCTATTTTTGATGTAAAAATATGCAAACTTGAAGTACCATCGCTTCATTAAATATCAAACGCTGCACTCAAAACAATATTTAACAAATTCCGTTGTAGAATTTCCCATAGATTAAAATATCAATACAATACATTTGTATCAAAAGGCATGAACAAATTAAAAAAAATAAGGAACGTATCCAATAAAAGATAATGAGAGTTCGTTAAGAAATTTCTGTTTTAAATTTTGATTTATTATGTTAATGAGTTGTCGTCCTTTTAATCTCTGTTGGGACAAACGTTGTTTTCTTCCATGTCCGATTTGATAAGAAGTGTCTAAGAAAGACAACTCAACGTTGTTACTAGATTTTAATCAAATACTGAAATTTCACAAAAGTATGATATTTCCTATTATCTTTTCGACCATAAGGAAACAAACACAAATAATAATGCATACATTTCCAATAATAATTGTTATAACATTTTGTCTCTAAAAACAAATTGTTCGTACAGTATTTCAATACTTTCTTATTATATTTTATTCAACTGAAGTAAAAGATTTTCAAGTATATCTAAAATGAATTTAAAATGCAAATTCTTTTAATTAGATTTTGTGTCAAAGTATTCAATAAAAAGAGTTTGATTTAACAGACATTTGTCCAAACTATACACTGCTATTTCTAAAAATATATCGTTGGCTTAACACATTAATTTGCAATGAAGGAAACAACCATTACAGCGAACACATTGTCATATATGTATCTTGCAAATGAAATTAAGTTCCTTATAACAATCATAATCATCCCATTGGTAATTATGTTCTGCCCATAATTGAACACATTTTAAAGGACTTTGAGGACGTGGCTCTGCTGGTGCCCATCGCGAGTATGTCATGGGTCGTGTCTCCATAAAGGAAGTAACCCATTCGTATATTCCATTACTGTTTCTTTTTCCACCAATCCAGACACTTCTTCCTGAAACAAGGAAAGAGCCTTTAAAATTGTTGTCTTATAGAAATTATATGTATAAGTTACAGTTTCGTCGATAAATACCCCAAATTAACTTTTTTTGTGATATACTGAACAGAAAGTTTTATATCTAACATATAGTTGAACACATATCACTATTTTCTGTAAGCGTTTCAGTAGGTGGTTAACAAAATAATAAACAAAATAATCAAATCTGAAGATTACAAAATTCTACATTGCACAAACGATAATGGTTTAAACATATAAGTAAGCTATAATCAACTCATAGCATTGAACAATGTAATGCTCAATCGTGTTTTAAAAGCCATACCAAAACATATGAAAACTTGTTTCTTCATATTGAATTAGTATAAAAAATAAAAAACAAAAATTCGAACAAAATCAAAAGCTTAAACACATCAAACGAATGTCAGTAAACACATACTTCTACAAATGTACATAGGCCATACGGCGATTTGTTGTTGCAAATATCCATAACTCTTGGTGTCTTGTGGATGGTTTTGTCATAAGCTATCGTACCGTGTTTTCCTTTATTTTCAAATATGTAAATTAAACACTTATGCCATAAATCAATTCAAATAGGTGTCTATAAAAAGTTCGATGCATATTTCTAAATCAGACAAAAAGTCAAGTGTAGTAAATTCATAGTAGTAATATCTTCCTTTCATTAAAACAAGTTCGACATCTACTCAAGATAGGTACAAGGGGAGCTCATTTTAAGTCAGGGAAAATATATAAAAATCTAAATAATAATTTATAATTCTGATGCAACTGAAACTTTGGTTTTTTTTCTCTCGATTCAAGCGAAGGATGAATAACTACATACCGAGTGATTACAAAAAAAAAAATAAAAAAAAAAAATCAAGAGATATGGAATATTTGTCAATGAGACAACTATACAGAAGATACTAAATGAGTAAACTATAAGTCGACGTACGACCTTCAACAAGAAGCAAAACAAAAACCGCTTGGCATGTTAAAAAGAATGCCAATATAATTAATGTAAAACAATTCAACTGAGAAAAACAACGGCTTAATTCGTGTGAAAGCCAAACCAAACTAGAAGCTCTCAAGAGCCTGTGTCGCTCACCTGATTCTACTTTGGTTTTGAAAATCATGTAAAATTAGATTAAAATCATAACAGATACCCTAATAATGATTGAGGCCAAATTTGGTTTAATATTGGCCCCATAATTTAATCAAAAATCCTGGTGGCCATCGTGAACAGTAAATCGGCAACAAAGTAGCAACACGTCATCAGCAATTCACAAGGAACATTTATGCCATGTTTGATTTCATTTCATTCAGTTTTTCCTCTCTGAAGAAGCATTGTATGTATTTCCCATTGGGTCTTATGTTAAACTAAGTCCCCTGCTGGCGGCCATCTTGGATGTTGGTTCGGCTACAAAGTAACAACTCTTGGTCAGCATCTCAAAAGAAACATTCATACCATGTTTGGTTTCAATCCATTAAGCGGTTTTCTAGAAAAAAAACCATTTGTATATATTTCCGATAGGGTCCTTTGTTTAAGTCCCCTGTCGGCAGCCATCTTGGTTGATGGATTTGCTACAAAGTAACAATATATACTAGGTCAGCACCTCATACAGAACATTCACGTCATGTTTGGTTTCATTCCATTCCATTCAGTGGTTCTCTAAAAGAAGACATTTGTATGTATTGTCCATAGGGTCCTATGTTAAACGAAGTCCCCCGCTGGTTACCATCTTGGATGATGGATCAGCAAAAGTACAAAGTAACATCACCTCATAAGGAATATGCATGCAATGTTTGGTTTCATTTCATTCAGAGGTTCTCTAGAAGAAGTTCAAAATGTAAAAAGTTAACGACGACGACGGACGCGAAGTGATGATAAAAGCTCACTTGATCTTTTAGGTCAGGTTAGCTAAAAAGAAGTATGATGCACAGTAACACAAAACAACCACTGAATTACAGGCTCCTGGCATGAAACAGGCCCTTATGTAATTTTCGGGGTTAATCATGTTTGTTGGCATCCAACAAACCTCCTAACTTAATCATTAAGACTTCCTTAGTTTCATTTGTCTTCAATTTTTAAATATCCCTTGCACCATATTTATAAAGCAAATGATCGTTGAACTTAAATCAAATGATAAAATCCGTGATTAATGTCATTAAAATATCATTTCGTTCGTCGAAAATGTTCTTCCTATCAGAAATCCAATATCGTTCATCTTTTTGACATTTAGATAATGACTTTAAAAAAGCAATGGAATATAATAACCTTGTACCAATTACATATGTGGCTACGTGTAGTGTGTAGTAATTGGAAAACTACTAAACACTATTTGGAAAAAAGCGCAGTTTACTCCATTGTGAGCAAAGAATTTTAGAATAAAATGCAAACCTGAAATAAAATGAGTATGTTCACCCAGCCATTTGGCTTCACTTTCAGAATAAATATCTGCAAGCCATCCGTTCTGTCGTCTGCATTGCAGCTACAAAACACACAGTAAGTTCATTAAAACTACAGTCTCGTTTAAGTGAAATACAAACTTGCAGAACCTAATAAACTAGTTGTAAGAAGAGACAAATTCAATAAAGGATATCTAGTTTTCGAAATACATAAACCAAATTGTACTTTTTAATAGTCTCGTATTATGAACATGGTTAAATGCCTACAATACTGACCTTCAAGATGGACAGTTTCGTATTAGTTGCATTAAATTATAGGCATGCATGTGTATAATACAGAAGTAATCCAAAATATATTGAGGACATAATGTGTTTAATTGAACAAAGGGTGTTGCCGTTATTGTCAGTGCTTGCCTTGATCACGAAAGTGGTGATTAAATCACTTTTCACTTTAAAACATTTTGATACAAGATGGTGACCACTTCAATTATAACTATCTGTTCTTTTGGATCTGAAGAGACGATCAAGATGAAGATAAGACGTTTGGTCTGTTTTTCGTGATATCCATTTGATGTGGCTCTGTACTTATGTATTCTGTCATTGTGTTTTTTGTATTATCTTTCATGTTTGCTTATGTGCTTTGTCCATGTGACTTTTTGTGTTTCATTGATACATATGACGTGGCTCTGTACTTAAACATCCCGCCATTGTGCTATTGTTCTATTATAATTTTTGTATTCTTGTCTCTCAGTTTTGCTAGTTGTATGCATGCTTTGTCTATATGCCCTTTTGTGTTTCTTTGATAATACTGACATGGCTCTTTTTTTAGAAGAAATACACAATAAGCATATGGACAAGAGGCGAGAAAGACAAAATAAACTTCTAATTTACATTCTGCAGAGGATATACATTGTACCTAAAAGAACTATAGACTATATTCTTTTCATACTTTGAACGACAAAATTATTGTATATCTCTACCTGTGTGACGTTTACATTCTGACGTCAAACGCGAGATTCTACGTCAGAATTAATGTTAATCTAACCATTCGGTCGCTGTACTTAAAATGGTTTAATCCTTTATGGGTGGATTTAACATACATAAATGAAATACAAAAATAAGAAAGCAATAAATGAGGTTGTTAAATTTGATATGTGCCTTTTGTGCTTCTTTGTTAAATATTTGTTTGTTTTTATTGTGATTAAGATTATAACACAATGTTGACTGCTGTACCCCTAATTTTGACTTTTTAACCCATTATGTCTGTTTGTTTTGTTCACGCATCGTTGTCAATATAATGGAATTTGATGCGACTGTCGTACAAGTGAGAGGTTTAGCGCTATAAAACCAGGTTCAATCCACCATTTTCTTCATAAGAAAATGCCTGTACCAAGTCAGGAATATGACATTTGTTATCCATTCGTTTGATGTGTTTGAGCTTTTGATTTTGCCATTTGATTAAGGACTTTCCGTTTTGAATTTTCCCGGAGTTCAGTATTTTTGTGATTTTACTTTATATTAAAGAATAACAAGCGTGTATGACTGTAAACTATAAGGACAGAAAGTCATACGTTGGTTATTGAAATTCTAGTATTTACAATTTTAACAGAATCAAACAAAGTATCATAATCAAATCTTAATAATCTCCGTGCGGGGTGATTAGACATTAACTTTGCTGGGTTGGACACACCAACGGTCAAATGGACGACGAAAGGTCAATTGCAATTGAGGGTGATTCTCTTAATTAAGTTTTGGACATTTGTTCCATATTTACCTTTGCATCGTACCATGACATCAATTTCTTACTGAAGCAATAACATGCACCAAAATTTTCCAATCTCTCCCAGCCTCCATAGCAGTCAAAGCTATTCTCTATGAATTAAATATATAAATCTGTCAAGTTAAAGTCACATGAAGCTCCAAATTTAAAAAGAATGTTGAACATGTTTTTGGCACAACTTTTTGGAATTTGGGGTCCTCAATGCTCTTCAACTTTGTACTTGTTTGGCTTTATAACTATTTTGATCTGAGCATCACTGATGAGTCTTATGTAGATGAAACGCGCGTCTTGCGTATTAAATTATAATCCTGGAACCTTTGATAACTATTTTATGTACTTGAATGGCTAAGTTTTACTCTAAAAGAAGTGAACGTGAACATTTTTTTTTAAAAGAAAATCCTTTATGATTTCAAAATCTTCATAAATATACCGATATTGAATTATTGACTTCCCAGACACTAATTCGCCGATATTTTCCGGTATTCAGTGACTTTAACTATGTGACCTCTTGGTAAAACTTCGGCCCCCAGACAGCATAAGTGCGAGGGGACAACCGTGATGAAAAAATTAAAAACACGTGCTCTTGAAGGTAAATAGAAATAATGAACAAATTATATAAAAAACGTGCATGCTAGACTTAGTTTAGTATATATGCATGCATTGGTTCAATAATTTCGACAACATTAAAATTTCAAGAAACTCGTTTCTATTACTTTAAAAGAACTTTAAATCTTTTAACTGGGTTTTCCGAAGATAAATCAGGTTATTGAAATGGTAATCTACGACAAATTGGCGGTGGGTGGCTTCCAACATTTTCCGTGTAATAACTTATGACCCGTTCAATAAATGCCTTTCGAATTTACATATGTTGTTGCTAATTACAAAATGAAAATGGAGGGCAGGTTTGATATTGAAGTTTTATTTTACTATTACCGGTGAGGGGTTATGGTCATAAAGGGATTGAGAAATGCCACTTTTTATTATTTCCGTGCAATAACTTCTGAAGCGTTCAACTAATGCTTTTAAAATTTTTTGTAATTGATGAGAAAACAGAGGTCAAGTTTGTTATATGCAATTTTTACTTTTACCTTTCAGCATTTATGATTGTTGATAGATTGGAAAATGGCATTTTACTAGATGGAAGTCGTTTCCTTGCAATAACTTAGTATTTCAGTCTCAAGTGTTCTCTCTTTATTTTTGGTGTACTGTTGTTGGTCTTTTCGTGGTATTTTCGATTTTTTTTTTGCCATGACATTCGCAGCTTATTTGCTTTCGATTGATGAGTTTGAATGCCCCTTTAGTAATTTCGAGTCTTTGATGAGTCTTTTAGCCAATGCTTTTCAAATTTAAATATGTTGCAACTGAAAGAAAAATGGAGGTCAACTTTGATATATGCCGATTTTCACTTTTGTCGTGCAGGATCCTTGATATATTGGAACATGAAACTTTATCTCATAAAACGTCAAAGTATGCTTAATCGTCAATTGACCCCTTGTAAGAGTTATTGTCCCTTGCAAGACGATTATTACAATTTGTGCATTTTACTATTAAATATGTAGACCAACATTTTTTAGCCGGTTTGTCTCCGAGCCGACGATTGTCTGAAGTATTATATAATTATAAATAGTAAAGGTATGTAATGTACTTTATAACTTCATATAGTAATTGGTTTAATAAGCGTAGCTTAATTAATTGAACCCCACATAAAGTTCCGTAGCTGGTTTTACGTTTTGAAAGCAGGCGGAAATGGTTTTGTATTCAATTTGTCTTGAATTTATGACAACTCGGCCCACGGCCAACTCGCACCACTCAAACACTCTCACTTATTAATACAACTTGCATCACTTTATCAAACTCGCACCACTCAAAAAAAAAAGAAAAAAAAAAAAAGAAATATAACAAACTCGAAGAAATGTGTTTAATCATTAGATTGTTTTCCCTTTCTCTTAGTAAATTCCTCCTTTCTCGGAGCACCTGTGTCACACAGAGACAGAACTCGCACCACTTGAAATAAAATACTACAAACTCGCACAACTGAAGAAATGTTTTAAATCATCAGAAAGTTCTAGCTGACACCTAACTTTCTTCAAATGAGTCACTATTTCCGAGTTCGTCAATTGACTTCTTATCAATGATAAATAGAGAGAAACTTTAGTACAAATTGTACAGCGCAATTAGATCTAAAGGTTGCAATTCTGTGAAAATAGACAATGCAATTTCCCATAGGAACTCCTTTTACGGCTAAAACTGTGCCACTTTTACTGTGAAGTTTCGTGAAAAATTATATCACAGAACGGAAAGTTGATATGCACTACTATTTTATTCAAAGGCCAAAATATAGGGCTGTGCGGCATATTTTCAACATTTATATGCCCTGAACTTCTAAGAGTTTAAACTTATATTAAATTCTATACTAGCCCTACCTCCATTTTTGGACCTCCTAAGAATTAAATTTGAGGCGCTACCATGTTTTTCTATACTGGTAACATTCCCAAGTTATGTCTCTATGAGATGAAACACAGAGGTCATATCTGGGAACCAGTATGTTAACAAACTAACATATCTTTTGATATTATATATCTCCCTAAAAGAGGCGTGGCTTGTGAACCAGCTGTATTTACAAAGTGCAACCTAAAGATACCTCATGTTGCTAAATTTATAAACTTTTATTTTATTATAATTTTATTTTTATTATGCAAAAAAGAGAAACAATGTTCACCACTATAAGATCTACAAAGTGTTCAACAACGTTGAAATTGTTATTGCTTCCTTTAGAAGTAAATGCCCTTGAATTATGATTTAGAAACTTTGGCAGATAGAGTTCACATGTTAATTATGTAGAACCTGTTAACATCCGAATTGCTTAAAACATTCTACAAAAGAGGGCGAAAGATACCGGAGGGACAGTCAAACTCATAGATCGAAAATAAACTGACAACGCCATGGCTACAAAATAAAAAGACAAATAATAGTACACAAGACACAACATAGAAAACTAAAGACTTAGCAACACGAACCCCACCAAAAACTGGGGGTGATCTCAGGTGCTCCGGAAGAGTAAGCAGATCATGCTCCACATGTGGCACCCGTCGTGTTGCTCATGTTATTACAAATCCGGTTAATAGTCTTAATTCGGTAGGTCACATTCGTGGTGAAAAAGTAAGTGGATTGTAATAACGACATAAGGAACATATCCGATATTATCTGTGAAACGGTTATTCCTATACAACCTAGTCAAAACATTTGACATCCGATGTTTACTATTATTGAAGAATGTATATTTCTCAAATTAAAAGAGCCAATATTGACACTTCTAGAACATACTCTTTTATCAGTTGCATTTTATAGAGTTATTACCCTTGAAAGACAATATTTACTCTTTTTTACGGAGTTTGCGATGAAGAAATTATGATAGAAAGTGATAAAAATGTAACAACAAAAATGGTGAGCATGATGAGCAAGACAAATGATGGTCCACATAGATTCTATGCAACACACACGTTGTTTCGACACATGTGTTTCAGCTACCTATAAATTGTTCACTGTTATGAAGTCATAACAACATACTAACACTTTTTATCCCACTTTTCCTATATTGTACACCAGTATCGACAAAACTTTCACTCCCAATACCTTTGAAGATTCTATACCTCTGATAATTACCTGGACAGCACCTGGATTGTGTGCATGTAACAGTCATAGTTTTTGCTCCTAGGCATTTTTTACCGCCATATTTAGGATGAGAGCATTCGCGAAACTGTAAAATGGTACCATTACCACATGTAACGCTACAGCTTGTTTCCTTCCAAGCACTCCATTCACCATCAACTAGTTATTTGAAATATACATATATACATAGTCAGTATAAATTGATTGATTGATTGATTGGAAATTGCTTTACGCCGCATCAGCACAAAGAGGCTATATTGCGGCGAGAGCTATCTTAAATATTATAACTAGACGTGGTGTTTTTAAAAGACCAGACAAAAAGTCTTTCAATTTACTAAAACTGGAGTTTTAAAGCGAAATTACTTATTTAAAAATAAAATTTCATCAATAAGATATCATGATAAAAACTAAAAATCATTTAAACTAATACAATAAATTCATATTTTGGAATAAATTCCAATTTCTTTTCAGAACGAAACAAGTATTTCAACAGGAACATTATTAAATAAATCATACATATTATTTACATTAAAATGTTTTTTTCCGGATATCGGAAAAGTCAATACATTTAATCAAAACAAGTGATGGTAGGGAAATGAGGGATAGTAGGGAAAATGAGTGACTCATTCTATGTTTTTTTTCATTTATGCCCTCTGGGGAAACTGTCCTTAGCTTTCTTATCCAAAATCTTTCCCGAGCGTGTCTGTGGTTAAGAAAGCTAAGGACAGTTTCCATAGAGGGAAATATATGAAGTATATGTATAAACAAGTCTAAATTGAAAACAACGTTCAAACCTATGATGGCGTAGGATAAAAACCGCAATTTTTATACGTGTGCATGCAAAACAAATTTCTTGGTAGAGGGTCTAAATAAAGCACAAACAACATATTCCAAAATACAAAAAAAAGTGAAAAAAGTATATTTTAATAAAACACATTTGATTAGCAGGTTTACAAAGGGTAAATAATAAGGAGTATCCGTCAGTAAAACGTTTTTATTTTGAATCACGCGATTAACACATCAAATACTGATTTAATGATTAAACGTCTTATTATGAAGTATTTCATACAAGACAAAATTATTTGCAATGGAAATTAACTGATGCTTCACACTCCATAGAGCGGGCAATATTGTTGCATTACAGGTTTTGTTATATAGATACAATGGATAAGCGTGGATTCTTGAAAAAGAAACCATGAGCCCGGAGGGCGAATGGTTTGATTTTCATGAATCTACGCTTATCCATTGTATCTATAACTTAAACTATTGTGTTAATTTCTTTTCAAAATTAAAGCCTTTTCTTAATTAGAAGGTATTGTAAGTGAGTTTAAATAACCATGTTATCGTGTCCAACGATGCATTGATAAATCTCAGATCACAATTAATTGGTTAACAAAATACAAATATAACACTTCTAGCTTTAAAGATCTTTATATTACCAGGCATATGAATATTATCTGTTTATACAAAATAAGACATATTCGAAATTATTTCTAATAAAATTGAAAATGGAAATGGGGAACGTGTCAAAGAGACAACAACCCGACCAAAAAGCATATATAAAGTATATATAATAAGTATGTTATCGAAACTTTTCTAACACTCTAGGCACATCACGATTTTCTCGCATAGGAATTTGCGAACAAACCTTTGTAAAATTATGAAGTAAAACAGATGAAATCATACTATATTTATAAAACAAAAATTGACAAATAGAATGTAATCATATTGTTTCAAACATGTGAAATAGCCGATAATAATATATAAAAAAACGGTAAAACTCGCTATTATTACAAAAATATCCGCTATAACTTGCAAAATTAGAAAAAAACAAGGATAGCTTAAGAATTGGAACAACAGAGAGAATACAGGGATTCGAACCTAAACCGACAAATCCCGATCTTTAACGCATTGATTTTAACCATGCTAACCTCGCGGCTACCAACTCATACTATACGACTGCCTATTGTGTCTATATAAAGGTACAAGCCCTGTGTGTCCTATGAACCGATGTATATCAGATGTTCATTTAAATATATAAAATAAACATCTATAGTGTAACCCATTGGTAGCCGAGAGGTTTCGTCGGTGTGTTGATGTCAGTCACACATAACAGATTTCAAGGAAGGGTTCGATTCCCAGTGAAGGCATATAAAAATTACAAAAATTAAAGGTAAGTTTTTAAATTAATTCCATTAGTGAACAGAAATCAGTAAATTAGCCAATTCAAACTTAATGGAATTAGGCACACAAAGGAAACAATTGAATATAATTTGGTGAGTCAGTTTCAGCGGCAGATTTAGGAAGCGTTGATTCTAGAAAAAGAATCCACGGTAAATGAATAGGCTGACGTCACCACAATGGTTTAAGGGTAAATATTGCCTGAAATGCAATCAAAACCCTATGGTAATGACTTGATTTCTTAATCTTCATAAGAATTATCACTACTTTTGAGATACTAGTACACAGCATATAGTGCATTGATCATAACATTCTATAAAAGTAAAAGCGCTGTTCCTTTGCTTTTTGTGTGTTTTTTTTGTTGTTGTTGCTGTGCATGTATTGATTTTGTGTCATGGATGGATACCCCATATCCTTTGTTTTTCTATTATATTATCGGAGTTTGTTTCTCGTGCTGTGTGGAGGCCGTAGAAAGTCTCCCCGTGCTTGATATGTATGCTCTTCTGTATTTTTAAAGTTATGGTGTATTTATTCTTGAGATAACTTCTCTTATGTGTGCCACATCATTCTCTCAATTTTAGGACAGTTTATATACTAAAATTTTAATCAGACGCACACCACCTACTCTTGGTCCTTCTTCCTATCCACGTTAATTTTTTCACTTCAAAACATTTTATGGAAACGGGATCAATATACCTGTATTTATACATCAGACCTTACTGCACTGGTTACCGAAATTTTGGATACACCAAACCAGGCACTTCATATCCGAGCAACAGGCTATATATACCCTCATTTTTAGAATTCATTCATAATTTTTGTATTATTCAAAATTATCAGTAAATCGTGTGTTCTACAAGGATCACCAGTCATTCACCTTTTATCCGATACCTCAATTACTAAAATATATGCTGCATAGTTTAAGATTTACAACTATGCGTAGGAACTATTTTGTTTTAAATATGTACTACTTTCCAGTATGTTCTTTTTAGACCGGGCCCATTGGATGGTGTTACGTCTTACAAAGTCTATCCAAATTATTTTTACAAAGAATTCCGCTCAAACTTGTTTAGTATAGTGGTGACTTTTCATTTATTTTTGACACATGAAATATTGAAAAACCTAACCTGATACTTCTTTACATACTTTAAGTACTGCTAACTAAAAAAAACATAAATTTATAGAAATACAAATGCCACATTTTAAATACATCGAAATGATTTTCGGAGTAACATTTTCTTTTTAATATTTTATACAGATGTATCAACTAACTAAAATAGAAAACCATTGTTTCGTCTTAACTGATATACGTATGATATTTATCCCACTTAACATACAAATATAATGTACATTGGTATATAACAATTTTCAACTATCTATTTACATTTGATGCTATCTAAATCTAAGATTAACCTGTACAGGGGATATTTTTATCCCGCAAATATATAGTACACTAGTACTGTCAATGTCTATTGAATTTCAAATGAATAGCGTCTCCTTTTCATCTGAATACTCTTTAATTCTTAAGAGTTACCTGGACATTGGTTAGGCTGTATACATGTGACATGCTCAATACTGTTTCCTGTACAGTTGTTTCCATAATATTGAGGATGTGGATTGGAACAGTTGCGAGACCGTAAACCGGTTCCAACACCACACGTTACACTGCAGGTGTTTTCGCTCCAAACAGTCCATTGTCCATGAACTAGGAATTTGAAAACATATTCTTAAAATATGATTTGAATTAAAAAGCATTAAGTGTATAGGGGTGTTTGCAATGCATTTTCGAAAATGAAAACGTTGTAAATGAGTCAAATTTACTGTCAATTTTAGAAACGTTATCACATTGCATGATTAGCTAGGAACTTCTAGAAGACGAGATCAGTGTTTTAAAATGAGATATTTTTTAAACAAATATAATTCTGCAAAACATAGATTTCCAGCTTTATCGACTTTTAGATGAAGGAAAATTGCAGCACATAGAGTATGATTGCCGCCCCTCTTTTATTATTTGTAAGATTTAGCGGAATTTTAATCTAATTATATACAAGTCAGATGCTTCAAATATGAACTCTGTGATGTCCTATCTACTTTCAATATAATATTTTCTCCACATACATGTAACTTACATTGTGTTTGAAAAGTTTGTGACTGATCTGAAAGAGTTACCTGGACAGGGTTTATGTTGCATGCATGTGACATGCTCAGTACTACTTCCTGTACAGCTTTTTCCGTCATGTTGAGGATATGGATAAGAACATTCGCGATAACGTAAACGGCTACCCACACCACATGTTACGCTACAGGGTTTTTCTATCCAACCACTCCATTTTCCATCTACTATGAAATTGAAAAAAAATATTCTTAACTCTAACATAAATTTGAAAACAAACATTCAGTGAAAAAGAATTTTAGCACTGTGGTTTTCTTAAATGAAAATGTTTTCAACGACTCTTGTTGTTGCCTTGATAACAAATGTTAAATCCACTGTATTGTCATACATCTGGCCTGTACCATCAACTTTCGAATACAAATTTACTTTCAATTTTAGTGACATTAGCACAAAGCATCTGATAAACAAAGACACATTGACGAAAAGGTAAGTATTTTTAAAATGGTCAATTTCCTGTTTTATTTCGAATCAAATAATTGTAGACTTCCGGATAAAAAGAGCTAGACGTAGAGAACAATTAAAGTATATAGAAACAAGTGAAACTGCGAGCTACTGCTGACCGATGATACCCCGCCCAAATATTTCGGTAAACAGGAAGTTGTTGAGTGATGAATCTGAAAACGCATCAAACGGTATAGCTGACTTATATAAACCCTGAAACCAAATTCCAGAAATCCTTGTAATGTAGTTCTTGAGAAAAATGTGACGAAAATTTTCAACTTGCCTACCCATGTGTCAAATGATGTAAGTGTTCGGTAAACAGGAAGTTGTTGAGTGATGAATCTGAAAACGCATCACACGGTAAAGCTGACTCATATAAACCTTGAAACCAAATTTCAGAAATCCTTGTAATGTAGTTCCTGAGAAAGATGCGACGAAAAATATTCATTGGACAGACAGACGGACTGACGGATGGATAGACTGACGGATGGATTGACGGAAGGATGGACTGACGGACGGACACACAGAGGTAAAACAGTATACCCCCACTTTTTATAATGAAATCTAAAATGTTTTCACTTGGGTAAATGTGATATCCATAACTGCAGTTACGTATATCCAAAGATAGCGGACGATATTTCTGGTCAATATTTCTTTTGTCGTTTTTGTAATAATTATGTATCATTTTTTGGTATTTCGTGTCTTTTTAAACTAATTTACTTAATTTGAAACTGAATTACTTTTATTTTTTTCCATAGTTTAACCTCTAAATGGAGAAATCGGCCGTCCAAAAACTCGATGATATGGGTAACTGAAGAAAATAAATTGCCGTTGATGTAACTGGAAATATCGATATCCGTAACATATTTTATTTAAGAAATAATTCATGGAAGCCATAGATTTGTTGGAAATTTACACATGGCCTGGGTCGTGATATTCGAATTTTATCCTGAGCGTTCCAAGGAAAATTGAATACAGAAAGTCATTTAGTAAATTGAAAAATCTAAAGCTAAAGCTCAAACACATGTGAAAAAAAAACAAACGGACATAACAAGTAAAAAGGTCCTAAATTGGGATACAGCAGTCACCATTGTTTTTTTAAAAATCTTAATCACTATAAAACAAATAACTATTTCAACCAAGAAAAACAGAATGACATATAGACAAAGAACATGAGCGAAAATAAAAGGCAAGAATACAAAAATGACTATAGCACGATAACACAATGGCGAGATGTATAAATACAGAGCCACGCCAAAAGATTATTCCCAAAAATTAAATAAACTGTAAAGTTAAAAATATACAAAGACAAATGAAAAGATCACTATAAAAGGTCATTTAGATGATAACCAACGTCAGTACCTAGAATCTATACTCCAGGACCATCATGTATCATTTGTGAAGTTGCTACGAAATATTTATCAACAAGGTCTTGGTACCCCATTTATTTGTATTGTGGTCCTGTCATGTGATGTTGTCGTTTTGGTGTTGTGTTTGACGTTGCCATTAAAGCGGGAGGTTTGGCATGCCACAAAATCAACCCACCATTTTTTTCTTAAAATGTCCTGTACCAAGTCAGGAAAATGGCCATTGTTATATTATAGTTCGTTTCTGTGTGTGTTACATTTTAATGTTGTGTTTTTGTTGTGTCGTTGTTCTCCTCTTATATTTGATGCGTTTCCCTCAGTTTTAGTTTGTAACCCGGATTTTTTTTTATCTGTATCGATTCCTGAGTTTCAAACAGCGGTATACTATTGTTGCCTTTATTTACCTTTCGATGATTTTATTTTAGAAAAAGGACAAGACGTCCTTTGACATAACCTTGCTTCATCAACTTTCTGCTCAAACACTGGTAACGTAATAGACTGGTAGTCTGAGTAGCAGCTACAAGATTAATTACGAAATGAGTTGGGAAATGTATATCCCATATGCAGGTAAAGCTGGTATATTGCTGCTAAAGTGGGGTAATTTATAATTTCAAAATCAGAATCGTCTCGTTTGTTATAGATTATGGTACTGAGATTACCGCTCATGTCATATTCGAGGTATGAGTCTAAAAATGAGGCAAAGAATATCATCAATATTCTAGTATCTGAATGTAAAATTAAATTATCAGGCTTCTTTGATCTTCTTGTTTTTGATGAGTGATTGATGGAACTCCTACTCCTATGAAAAAAAGTAAGAGATCTGCAAGGAGAGGCGCACAGTATGTATCCATTGTTGAAAAAGTCTATCTCAACATTTAACAAATATGTTGTCAAAATGAAACTCCAGTATACTGATCATTTGTTCCTCTGTGTAGCATGTTTTACCTTTTTGTTCACCATTTACAAATTATGCCGTATGGTATCCAAAAACAATACATCTATAGCATATGCTACCATTTGAATAATGAAAAGCATTATGGATTATTTGTTTTAGACTATTTTTCAATTGCATATGGTGAATGATGGTAAAGAGGACTAAAAAATCAAAAAATGATAGAATTAATTTCAGAGAAAGATCGAGATTTGAAATTATATGAAAGTTATTTCGATTCTTTTCGAATCCACATATGGTAAATAGAGTTTCACGGTATTTTGTCAATCTAATGAACAATTATTTTGTATAACATGCAGGTGAGCCGGCAATGTACCGTTGTTTGTACGGGATTTTGTGAAGCTTAGGTATCCAATAAAAATATGGTAGGTCCTCACATTTGCGGTTTAATGTAATGTTCATTGTAACCATGAAGGTCTTATGATTCGCCGAAATCACTTCCTTGTCAATGATATGTTTTTGTATATGGTTTAACCTGAGTGCTCATTTATTCCCAATTCTTTTACAAGGCACTCATAGTAGTACGATTTACATACAACAACAATATTAATTCAAGCTTTATGCACAGGAACGTCAACATATATCATGAAAAGATGATAGACATTTCACAGCTTCTTTGTCTCTGAAAACGGACTTTGGTCGATCATTTTCTTATGAATTCGACGTTTAATCAGAATTCGGACAAAGTGTCCAGTTCAACTACTTCTCGTTTGGCCTATGCTCTGGCGTAGTCCTCAATGGACACGATGAACCACGGATGTGCCGGTCCAATTAAAAGCATGTAAATATTTAGAACGTATATTAGGTTTCACGGTTATTTTTTTTTTATTGCATTTGGATTGTTAGCTTGTTCACTTGCAAGTTCTTGAATTGGTATTTTTCTAATGTTGTGATAATATTGTGGGGATACATTTTTCCGTTTCTTATAATTTCGAATCTTTTGACGAATGTATTACAGTTTTATTTCAGAAAAGATGTTTGTATGATATTTTAAATCGAGAATAATAAATGACGCAGAAACAACAAAACTCAATAGTTACGGATACCCTTTTTAGACGTTAAATACAGTTACTGATACCAGTCTTTACAGTTACCCATCTATCATCGCATTTTGTTGGACGGTTGATTTTTCTATTGAGCGGTTGAACTATAAAAAAAAGCTTTGTATTTCAGTTTCAAATTTAGTAATACGTTAAAATAGACACGAAATAACGCAGAATAATACATCATTATTACAAAATTGACAAAAGAAATATTGACCAGAAACATTGTCCGCCATCTTTGGATATACGTAACTGCCTTATGGATATCACATTTACCTCATTGATGTTTGGTCGAAGTATTATTTTATTTCTTTACAGGTCAGGTGTTTCAACGTCTCTCAGATGATGAAACGCTGTGATGTCTTATCAAACTTAATAGTTTTGTTTTCAATTATTTTAGTCGCAATATTTGCAGAATATCTACATTTGTAAGCGATACATGGGATGGGGCTAGACAGCAAACGCGTGATATGTTCAGTACTTTACTATTTCCTGTACATTTGTTTTATCATAATCAGTTTATAGATTACAACATCGCTGAAATCCGTAATTTTTTAAATAAACCAGGAATTTAAATACCATGCATATTCTAAAATTTTATTGATAATTATAGTGAGATGGAATTTGCCAAGATAAAAAAATTACTCAACTGTTCGGCGTGCGGCTGCTTCGTTCAATCAACAGAAATCAAACTTTCAAATAAATGTTACTATCCAAATGAAGGACTTTATCCTTGGTCAATAAATTGTTTAAGAATATTTAATAATTTCTAAATAGGGTGATATACAGTATGTTGCAAGATAAATCACCCAAAACATTTGTATTTTGTCCGCTCGGTCGAGTTTGACGTACAGCTAGCCATAGAAAATACAGTTTATAATAATTACAGTCACATAGGCCGTATTACATTTCAACTAGTAATTTTAGAAATATATCAATAAAAAAAAGTTAAAGCTATTCAGAAAATAACATAATTAAACATTAAGAAAGAATTTAGAAAACTTCATTTTGTGGGTTAAGTTTAAACAATAGCTTGATGAAATCAATTGAATTAGATTGGGCAACATGCCAAGCTTATATATCCCTTTCCTTTTTGTGGGTATTTTGTTTATAAAACAGCTGCCCCCCGTACAGAAGTGTCTTACTATTTTTTTCCAGCGACCCGGCAGTAATATACAAAGAAAACCTAACCCGACTCGTCAGCATTCCTCACTTAAAATTTCTAACTTACCACACCCTTCTTCGTCGGTTTTATCGGAACAGTCTGCAAAACCATCACATTTCATTGAGGCAGGTATACACTGGAACTGTTTTGCACAAGTAAACTTTTCTGATCGGCACTTCAAAAGCGCTGTAAGAAAATATGGAGACTTAAATGATAAATTCGTCTCAGTAAGTTTCATATCCGTGCAGAAATGACACGTATCAAGCCAAAGACAAATGAAACTGCATTAAAATTACTCTTAATCACACGCTACCGTATGCTCAGTTAATATTTGTCTTTGTGCTTCATGCATTTTGTTTAAACAAACATAACTTGGTCATGTGCTAAAATGCTATCTTTTGAAAACGTATGCACATAATTGTGCACACTTAAAGACTTTTCTTACTGCATACAATGAATCAAATCCACGTTTTGGTACTGAATGGCTCCGATGCCACCTCAACATTTATTATCAGAATATGGCCTCTGTTTCAATTTAAAAACAAAATTATTATACATTTTTGTAAAAAAAAAAGTTTTTAAAATGAGAAACTCAAAATAAAGTTATTATGGTATCGTAATGCTTATAATCTAAGAAAAATACCATCTGATTTTATTTCTCCCACACTTTTCAAAGTCTTGTCTATCTTAGATGACATCAATGTTAGATTTGACAGCAACTTATCTGTCGATGATTCTAGTTTTGTAACTACAAATGCAAGGACAGATTGCCTATAAGATGTATAATACAAACTTTGTAAATATTACTGTCCTGTGCTTCAAAATACTCAAAATACCTAGATTGATTTTTTTTTTTTTTATTAGTTCCTTCTTTGACTAACGGATTAAGGTCAAATTTAGTTGTGACCTTATCAATATTATATTTAGACCAGGGTCTTTTTCCGGTTCTTGGTACATGTTTTAAGTTCTTATTGGTAGTCTGTTGTACATTTTTTATGGATACTTAGATAATTATTGTCAGAAAAGATATTAAATATATGTTATGCAATAAAATTCTTTCAGATTACCCATCATTCTAGTATTAAAACACCACATGATCATATATGATTCCAACATCAATAAATGGTGTTAGTTGTTATAGTTATTTTTATTAGGATTCTACTATTCTCTCCGATATTCGGTCCTTCATATTTAGTGAATTCCAAACTTCATACTTTCCTGCTTCGAGGCGATAAATTCCGATGTGACCACTGGACGACCTCTGGTTCACACTATTAAAGAACGAATTTCTCTCTCTCTCTCTCTCTCCGAAGTATCCCAAAATATACATTTTATTATGTTGTGTGTTGTGTATGAACAAAATATTTCAAACATACTAGTGTGCTTATGAGTGTAGTGTGTTATTTCTCGTAAGACGAAACTGCATAGAAAACACAACATGTACCTCTTGTTGTTGCTTCCATTACATCCTCAGTCATTTTTTGTAATTTAGATGTTATCAATATATTGTTGAACGACACATTCTTCATATATGACTCCATTGCAGCTTCTATAAATAGAACGAAACTGTTCTGATGTGTCACACAATATTATAAAGAATTACTCATATACCTCGGGTAGTTGCTTCCATATTATTCTTTATAATATTTTGTAATTATTTGGCATCAATGTATTATTTACTGAAACCTGCTTCATACACGAATCCACTGTAATTTCTTTCAATAGAACGAAATATCTGGTTGTTTTTATATGTTTAAGGTGTTTTGTCTACCTCTCATTATTAAGATAATTAGATTTAAAGTATACGTCATTAATTGTTAATCGATGAATTTATTAGGAATACTTTAAGTAAGATATACTATGCTCCGACAGTAATAAATCATGCAAAATACACAATTTGCAGAAAAATGGTTAAACTTGTTTTTTTCGCATTAATACATTGCTTTATGTTCAACTTAATATTTGTTTATTTTTTTGATAAAATGACATTTCTTTTCAATATTTCCTTAGCATTTTGTTGGAAATGAGTATCAGTTTTGACCAATACGGAATACTTATTTATATATATAAATATCTTGTAAAAGATCCTGCGCGTAACAAAAGAGAAATTACCATCAGCTTTCAGGTCTTCCACAACTGAAAAAGTCTTTTCTATCTTAGAAGACAGCAATGTTAGGTTTGACAGAAACTGATCTGTCTGTGATTCTAATTCAGTTACTAATAATAAAAAAAAGATCAAACATTTCACCTTTATCGCACAGAAAAACTAAAAAAAAAAATAGATGCCTGTTTTTCAAAGATATTAATGTTGAAAATACCTTCGCTCTATTGATTTTATTTGGTTCCTACTACTACCAGTATATATTTAGATCAAGGTAAGTTGTGAGCCAATAATTGTTGGTGGGGTTCTTGATGCTCAGTCTTTCGATTTCTATATTTCTGTCCTTTTGTCGTTTTTATTTTAAGGCATTGTGTATTGTTTACTTTTATTTGATGACATGTTTTACACCCTTCTTTCAAGCCTTATTGTGTTTGCCTTGTGGAAACATGAATTAGTTTTGTCATAAAAGAGAGATGAAAGATACCAAAGGGACATTCAAACTCATCAGTCGAAAATAAACTGAGAACATCATGGCTTAAAAAGTAAAATACCAACAGACAATAAAAGTTTACAAAACACAACATAGAAATCTAAAGACTGAGCAACACGAACACCACCAAAATTGGGGTGATCTAAGGTGCTACGGAAAAAGAAACAGATCATGCAACACATGTGACACTCGTCGTGTTGCTCATGCTAGTACAAACCCGGTAATTCGGTCTAATTCGGAAGGTCACATTCGCAAAAAGTGGACGGGATTGTAGTTACGACATATTCGTTATCATCTGTGAAACGGATATTCCGCAAAGGTCAACCAACTCATGATGGCGTCCGTACAATTTACGAAGGAATGATTTCAACTTCACCGCTTGGATTGATTGATTGATTGATTAGTACTAGTGTTTTAACGCTAGTTAATTTGGACTATTTCGTGGCGGCCAGTTTTTATTGGCGGAGGAAGCCGGAGTGCCCGGAGAAAACCACCGACTTTCGATAGGAAAACTGACAATCCTAGTCAGTTGAGATTGGAGTCGAGTGCACCCGCACGAGCGGAGTTCGAACTCACAACCTCAGTGTTGACTGGCTAGTGATAGTACTTAAACCACTTGGCCACCGAGGCCCCCTTCACCACTGGGAACTCTTGGCTTAATATCTCTCTTGTGATAGAAAATACAAGCTCTGGAGTATCGTATCAACAAGGAGATATATACTACGTATGCAGGCGCTGTTTCAGCACTTCGGAGGTCCGAATCTCTCTCTCTCTCTCTCTCATTGTTGACTTAATTGACAATAAAATCACAGTGTTAACACAGCATGCACATCTTGTTGTTGATTCCATTGCATCCTCTGCCATCTTCTGTAAGTCAGATATAATCAATGTGATGTTGAATGACATTTGCCTCATATATGATTCTATTGCAGCTTCTGGAAATAGAACAAAATATATGGTTGTTTCGCTTTACATGTAATATATGTTATTTTGTTCATCTCTATGTCCACATTTTACGGACGTGATGTGGAAGTGTGTGCTCCTTACACATGACAATGGAAGCCACGGTTCACATATAAACATAGACATCAGGATATATTATTGTATGCGGACGACGAAAAGAGCAACCTAGAGGTTTGAATTGCAAAGATTATAATATCACAATCGATAAAAAATTCTCTTGAAAAAAAAAACAAACAAATATCTTGTTTGTTATAGATGTGTTCTATGATCAGAGACTATGATTATTAGGACTATCAACAACAAATCTGTTGCTATATTTCAATATATAATTTGATAAAGACATGCTGACATAAAACTAGAGGCTCTAAAGAGCCTGTGTCGCTCACCTTGGTCTCTGTGCATATTCGAGAAAAGACACGCTCCAACATTGTAGACAAGAATAGAATTCATGACAAAAAATCTGCTTTGTTGATCGTGTATTGCTGATCACTTAGCCTGTTTAGTTTCTCTCTATCTTTAGTTTTTGCTCAAAACACAAAAGAGGATAAAAAATCCTCATTTAAGGGCAATCACTCCTATAAAGAGTCGCAGTCAACTAAACAATATCGGCAAAATTTGACTTGTGAGTAGATCTCGGCGTGCTGATCATTATTATGATTTAAAGTGTATCTTTATCTATTATAATTTTCTATCATATGTTGCAAAACTAAAAAAAAAAAAAGGGAGGGGGTGTAAATTGTCTTTACAGGGTAATGACTCCAATAAGGAATCGTCTGACCACTTCCTTCATATTGTCTTCGTTGTAGATTTTGTTTTGCTGATCATTTTTGCCTAGCTAAGTTCTATCTGTCCATCATAATTTTAAGATATAAGGCTAAAACGCTAAAAATGGTCAAAATCATCATCAGAGGACAATACGTCTAATAAGGAGTCAACTGACGATTTCGACCATGTTGACCTATTTGTAGAACTTGTCTTGCTGATCATTTTAAAATTTCTTTGTATCTATTGAAGTTTTCAATTAAGTAGACAAAAATGAAAAAAAAAATGGTAAAAATGGTTATTTAAGGGCAATAACACCTATAAGAAGTCATTTGACAGTTTAGACATGTATGGACAATTGGTAGAGCTCAACAATCTCAACAATTTTGCTCTGGTCAGATTTTCTCTCTTTATAATGGTTTTCGAAATAGTAGACAAAACTTGCATTTTACCCCCTATGTTCCATGTTTAGCCATGTTGGCCATCTTGGTTGGAAGGCAGGTTTATCGGACGTATTTTTAAAACTCGATACCCCAATGATGATTGTGAACAAGTGTGATTAAATTTAGCGAAGTAGTTTCAGAGGAGAAGATTATTATTTTTGTAAAAGATTACAAAAAATATGAAAAATTGTTAAAAAATAACTATTTAGGGTTTACAGTTATCTCTATCTATAATGATATTCAATATAATAACCAAAAACTGCAAAATTTACTTAAAATTACCAATTCAGGGGCAGCAACCCCAACAACGGGTTGTCTGATTCGTCTGAAAATATCAGTGCGAAGGATCTAATACTGATGAACATGTTTATTCCATATCAAATTGCTCTAAATGCTTTAGTTTCAGAGATATAAGCCCAAAACTGCATTTTACCCCATTGTTCTATTTTTAGCAATGTCGGTTATGTTGGTTGGCAGACAGGGTTTTTGGAGACATTCTTTAAACTAGATAACCTAATAATGATTGTGGCCAAGTTTGGTTACATTTGTCTCTACAGTTTCAATTCAATTAAAAATAAAATGACAAAAGGGGAAAAATAATTACCCAAGCCAAATATGACAGCTATATTACTTTTAGTAATTAACCACTTATTCGGATTGTTAAACATCTATCAAACCAGACGACTGATTTGATTATTGAATGGTCTTTGTTTTGTTTCATATTGTTAAACAAATAAAGTCCAAACTAAGAATTTTGTTTACAATTTTAAGTCCGTTATTTATGTTATGATATTTTTAGAAAAACTGCGAAATTAAATACACGCGAATTCATCGACAATCCCAAATTGCGAAAATAAGTACTCGTAAAAAAAGTACATACACAGTATCTAAACAAAAATACCAGCTTTTTTTTATTAAAAAAGAAAGGATAGTATCAACTTTCAGTTGAAGACAGCAACGCAACAACACTAATAACAAAAATCCGTTTGGTGGTAGAGTCTCTGAATGAATGGCCGCATTAAGTTATGCAAATATCTTGATAGAGTTCAGTCTACCAAACAGCAAAATTCCACATGTATTTGATTATGTCAATATTGCCTGTGAAATCACGAATAAAAATTGACCAGAAGTAAATCCAGGGGACATAAAAAGAGATGATAAATTGGCGTCTAAAATGCTTTTTTTATCTTTCGAAGCAGAAGAACTTACTCCATGAGAAAATAATAGAGGAAGGCCTTTACAAACGTTCTTGAAAATGGCAATAGATTGATACTTCATCTGTCCCTTAATTTCCCCGGTTATTAAAAGAAGATAGAAGAAATATTATAGTGGGAGTCTATCAACTTAAACTTGCTCCAAGTTATACAAGAGAACACCTAGATAACGATGGTAGTTATGAAGTGTATACATGTGACCATGAAGAGAATCTATTATGTGCTAAAATTAAATCAAGACATATATATCATCAAAATGCTATCTTGTATGGGTTCATTTTTATGACATTAGTGTCTCAAGCTGGTATTGCCAGAGCAAAGACGGAACCTGCTCTCATATTACAGCTTTAATTTGGTATCTTGGTATTTTAGATTATCTTACCTCCGATTCATTTCTCGGAATATAATTGGTTAAAAGCAACCGCGTAGAGACCGTGTATATTTAATATGGGGTTAGTAGGTGTGGTTTTTTTTCAATATACGGTTAGTAGTGATGTTACGTCCCTTTGTAAAAACAACGCTGTATTTAAAAAAATGATGATGAACGATAAAAATAAATTCATAAAACACATTTAAAGCTAACAAGTTGTTATTGTAGGCATTTGTATTGGTATAGACCAATGCAAGTAGGTTGTCACCCAATAAAGAAATTTCCGACCCCATATATATATATATATATATATATATATATAGAATTTGGTCACTTGGATACTTTGAAACTAGTAGTAAACGGATAACATTTTGAAAATAGTCGTTAAACTTTGAAGAAATGACCAAAAATGAAATTCCTTTGTTAATTATATATTTTACAGTTTTGGGTTAATTTCACTTTCAATATGTCAGGACGGTGTTATGACCAACTGCCTCCTCCAACATTTTAAAGCGTTTAAATCTTTAATTTGTTAATTATGTCAACCCTTTTTATGTCACCCCTTTGCTAAAAGGGGGAGGGGCATATTGTTACGATATTTTTACGATATTACATTCCCCACTTAATGATTTTTTGTCCAGCTTAGTTCTCGGAGATGACAAACATTGATAAAACTGCACCCTAATGTACATCCCCATGTGCAGATGTGCTTTTAGGGTTTGAAATCTTTAAGCTGGCCGACGTTACCATGAAAATGGCAATAAAAGTTAAGATGATTGTTTACTAACAAAGATTTGCAGAATATACGTATCAAGAATTATTCAGGCTGAGTTTAGACTTTAGACAAATTAGAGACATACGGATTGTTTAGATAAATTCAAACAAAAAAATGCCATTTCAGAATCATGTGACTTTGTAACTTGAGCGGTGGGGTATTCAACAACTTATATATTACAAATTATTAACGATGCCGGAAATCTGGTATCTATGTTCGTATTTTAATGCTTCAGATGGGCATTCCACAACAAATAAATTTCTGATGCACTTTTTTACTCTAAGAGGGATCGCTAAAGTAAAGTCATAAATATACTAACCTATTTTGCAAACTGTTTTAACCGTCTCGTTTTTAATCCCTTTTTCAAACTTCTGCTTGTCTTCTCTGCTATTAAGCAAGTCATGTTCATTTGAAACTTTGCATGTGGAATTCATTAGTTCTTGTAATGAATTATTAAAAAAAATCAAAGACGAACTCACGGTAATCTCTGATTCTGTTAACTTTGATTTTATCTGATATAACTCACGTTGGTGTTGTAAAGTAACATTATGTAAAACCTGTATGTTTTGAGTAAAGTATTCATCTTCATTAAGTAATGCCTCCATCTTTGTAACAGTGTTATTAAGCGTTTGTTTTAAATCGTGATTTTGTTTTTTCAGAAAATCTATTTCATCTTCGTCATGTTGAACTTTCAAAAGAAGTTGGTGGAAATTGTTTTTCAATGTGTCCACTTCTAACTGAATGCTTGTCAAGTGATCTGCATCCTTTATTTCAGCATCCCCTGAACTTTGTGTATCTACATCTAATAAAAGTCCGAAACAGATATATGACAAAATAGTTGATACATTCAACCTCATTTTTAATGCATCCAATTCTTCATTCAGATAAACGTTTTCTAAAATAATTGTGCGTTAAATATCATCAGGTTTTTATCATTCAGTAGGTCATGGGTTACGTTTATTTTGCTTAAGGGTGTACTTGAAATAATCGTGAACATATCTCCTCTCATTTCTGTATATAGAACATCTTTCTATATCATGTCATGCTCCTTACGTAACTAACTAAGTATTCTTTAAACTTACACGTAAAAGTTGTAAGTACCTCTTTCCTAATTAATATTTGAAGTTAAGATATTAGTAACTGAATGATACGAAAGACGAACGAATGAAAATGTTCACATGTGTTAGATTATTTACATGTTGCTTTTGGAGACACTCATAAAGTGCACATTTTAAAGTTTTACATCTTCCTCTGTATATGTCATTTTTTTTTCTACATTTACTATAAGTTTAATTCAGTTTTTGGTGGGGTTCGTGTTGCTCAGAATTTAGTTTTCGATATAGAGTGTTGTCGACTTGTATGTCTTTACATCGTCTTTCGATTTGTTTTGCAATGGGTTGTAATTTAATCTCGACTGATGAGTTTTAGATATCCCCTTGGTATTTCCCGCCTCTTTTTTACATTCACGTAAGATAATAATTATAGTTTGATAAACCCTTTCCAACACTATTAAACAAGATGAACAATTGCACACAAAGAGAAGATGTTTATAGAAACAATCGAGAGTGCAACGGACTCTGAAATATTGGACCTTATGTATTCGCCTCGGCCTCCTCCTTTAATAAATGTTTCACTTAAAATCATCCTCAAAAACGACCACTGTTTAACCTTGTCTTTTTACTGTTCGTTAGATATGTAAAAGATTTTACCGAAGCACGCATTTTTTGAAGTGCGAAAGCGCTTTATCATGTGTTAAAAAAGAAACAAAAAGCGGTCACATAGTAACATGACTACAGAATGTCAGATGATATTTTTATTATGTCAGAAATTTATATTTTGTAATTTTTCAGCCAATCATTGAGTGAAAAGACAATATTTATTCCAAATTCAGCGTTGAAATGCCTGATCCTGTCATTGAAAGGGAGCATTACAAGCCCTTTGAGTCTGTTCTTGGAAAGTACACCACAGAGAAGGACAGACCTATTCTAACGAAACAAACACTTGCAGCTGGGGCAAAGGCAAAACAGGTTAATTTAATTTATTTCACGTTAACAGACATTGAGCGTCAGAAAACTGAAAAAGAGTCTATATTTCAAATATTAAAACTAATTTATTATAATCAAAAATAGTAAATATATGGAGTTTATGTCCATGGTACAAAGACTGTAAATGCCGGCTAACACATATTAGATTTTCAATACGACATTGATAGCATACTGAACATAGAACATATTATAAAAGCCCATAATTGTAAGTTTTTGAAACACCAAACTGTCTTTAATAGTATTGATCAGAACATTTTCTCTCAATGCACCATAAAATGTCACATTGAAGACCACCTGACACGTGTAGGCTCCCAACCTTTAATAGGAACGATTTCCACATCTGACACTTGTATTTAATGTGTTTTATTTAAATCATCTTAAAATCAATTGAATGTGTTCTGTTTAAATCTTCAGTATTTAAAACGTTTTGTATAGGGCTGCAAGAATACTGTATTGGTGGCCAAAAATGTTCTGAAGGTAGTCAATTGCCACGAATGTCTGAAGCCTTAAGCGTATTAACAGAAAAAGCAAGCTGACCACCAGAGACATCAGTGCTCTCAGCAGACTCCCATAGGGATTTGACTACTCCTGGGGAAGCGTTCTCTGTCCAGATGGTAATAATTGTCATATTTTTGATAAGTCTGAAAGGTGATTGTACTTTAAGAATACTATGTTTTTACATCTGTTACATTTTTCTTCGTCATTCTTTGACATGGAAATACAAAATTAAAATAAAATAGTTGACTGTGTCACAGAAACACTAAACAGCATAATTCTGAAATTAGTCTTGAAAATATCCTGTGATGTGAAGTTATTTCCCAGGGTAAAATATGTCGATTGAGTTAATGAATTGTGTAAATAGACATAGAGATACTTTTAGATATTTAGTAAATATTAGTTTTTGATTTTTTTCAATATCTTTTACACGGAAAGTCTTTTGCATGGAACGATTTTTGTTCGCCTACAATTGATTGCAGAAATCCTATAAAAACCTATAGAGTTTCCATACTATGCATCACAGATCAGTATAAATGACATGTGTTGCTACTGTTGAACACCTGAACCTCTAAAGATAGACAATTGTCTGCCAAATTCGAAATAATGTTACCCGTCTGTAATGCATGTCTTCAGGCAGGCTGTGAAGTTCCAAAATAAAAATCCTATCAAATAAACACAGAGAAATCTCTTTTCATGTGCAACTGTCAGAGTTCTCTTCAGTGGGTTGTGTACAAACTATTTTAATTACTTCTGCAAAGTTTTAGCCTTCTTCGTTTCTATAACATTCAGACTAGTAACTGTTTGAAAATTGTGTAATTTTGCATTTTCTTCAAATATTTATTGAAAAGCAAATAGTGTTGCCACTATCAGCGAAATTTAATACATTTATGATGTTCATGTCCAGAAAGCAATATTTAGTCATACTTTAGAAATATACATGCACTTCTAAGTCACTTTTAGTACTAGTAGTATTGTCCAGAAATCAATATGTCGTATAATGTTCATAAGTCAATATCTAGTCATTTTCATTTAAAATGCAAAGACTGTATGCCTGTCAGACATATCAAAATTTTATTTCAAGTTTAAATATTTCTAAGTCATTTTCATTTTCAGACATTTGTCAAAGGTAAAGTGTTTTAATACTCTGAAACTGTTCTTGTAATTAGGGCCCCGCCGAATGGCGGACGCCCTATAGTGATCAGTCTGTCCGTCCGTCCGTCCGTAACAAATTGTGTCCGCTCTATATCTAGAGAACCGTTATGATTTCAAAGTTTATACTTGACATGTATATTAACCAACACTAGAGGGTGTGTCATAATGTATGTACAACTTCCTAGGTCAAAGGTCAAGGTAAAAAAAATTGGTTTTAGTTGACAACCCCATGTCCTATGGTAAAGATCGTGTCCGCTCTATATCTTGAGAACCGTTATGATTTCAAGGTTTATACTTTATATGTATATAAACCAACATCAGAGGGTGTGTCATAATTTATGTACAACTTCCTAGGTCAAAGGTCAAGGTCAGAAACTTTGGTTTCATTTGACAACCTCATGTCCAATGATAAAGATACAAATTTTTTACCACATTATTCACAACGGGGCCCACATGGCTCCCATCTCAATGATATCTAGTTACTGCTACATGTATTTTTGTAAAGTTGTATAATTTGTCAGACATAAATGCAGGCCTCTTGAATAGGTATAAAAATGTTTGCAATAAATCTGTTTACACATTAAATTATCATATTTCTTTGCAAGTAGGCACAGGTATAAGACACCACAACAATGCTACTAAGAACTATACACAGAAAACATGTATCCCACATTCTCAGACTTAAAGTTAATACTGCACTTTCAGAGAAGTTACTGACAGTTATACAACAAATAAAGAACAAAGACAACATATTTTACTTAATTTATTAAATAGTCCTTTATATTTAAAAAAAAAATACCTATCGACCCAATCTTTTTTATGGGACTATGGCAAACCAACATTTCCTTAAATGCGACCTTATGAATATGACAGTTGTTTGCCATTCGTATGATATGTTTGAGCTTTTTATATTGCCATTTGAGAAGGTACTTTAATATTTGAATTTTCCTTAGATTTTCGGTATTTTTTGTTATTTCAATTTTTTCTGCTATATTTGAATTTTTAGAATCGTAAGATAACATTAAAAATTTACTTTGATTCAGAGATGACATCACCTTACTGCTCAGCGCTCTATGATTTTTATCTCCCGTCACCTGTTGCAAGTGAGTTTTAGACGCAGAAGTGCATATTTGGTGCTAAACTATCCATGGGAGAATGAGATTTTGCTGGTGGATTTTTTATTCAAACAAAATATTTACGTATGTTAATCGTAAATACACATTTAATTAATTTCAATGGAAAATAGCAATGAATGAAAAATCATAGAGCACAATGTTGTATACATAAGCAACATAACATGTGCCATAGCTTAAGATGGGGTTCGTGTGGCTGAATTTATGAACTGCTGTTTGTTATTGTTCTGGTCGTTGTTTCTGTTGTTTTTTGTTGTCCCCATGGCTTTGTTAGTTCGTCTTTGACTCATTTGACTAAATTTAATAAAACAGGAAATACGCAATATATATTGATCAAATCAACAATGAAAAAGCACTCATAATCTGATCTATCGTTCTAGTAAAATCAATTCAGAACATCATAAATTAATCAAGATTATCTTATATTCAAATTGACATATTAATGCTATACACATACCTTGCTCTTATTTTTATCCGGCACTCTCTCTGTTCATAAGAACTTGTCTTTAACTCAATCTTACCTCTCCTCACAATTATAATTATGATGGCCACAATTAACTAACATGCATAAAATATCCATGCTAATCAAGGTAATTTCTAAAACAAGAAAAAGCATACTTCAACTAAAAAACACCTAATATTTTTTTTATGCCCCGCCGCTAGGCAATGGGGGCATAAAGTATAGCCCTTGTCCGACCGTCGCGTACGTTCATAAAACTGGTTTCCGTTCTCTAACTTTAGTTTGCCTCAACCAAATGTTATAAATTTTAATTATACACTATGCTTATAACCACAAAACACAGATCAAATTTGAAATTGAATGGCGTCACCTTTACAAATGGACAAAGACTTAGTGCTAAATCTGTCGTTTCCGTTCTCTAATTTTAGTTTGCCTCAACCAAATGTTATTGAACTACTACACAATACCTATTAACACAAAACACAGATCAAGTTTGAAATTGGGTGGCGTCACTGTTACCGCTCACGAGTTGTGCCCATTTAGCGCCCATTTACAAAACAAAAACAAATAATATTCCTAATTAAGTGTCCAATCTTTTTTGCTAATTTTTCAAATAAAACTCGTTAAAATTGATTGCGGTCGTTTCACTCTT